AAAATATGATACGGCATTTAGCATATTATACGTCATATGACATATAATATAACATACGGCATATGATACGGCATATAGCATATAAAATTTAATTGTATATGTTATAACCTTTTTATATCTTATTAATGTTATAACTAAAGTTATAACTCATATAAATGTTTGCACTCTTATTATTGAACAAGTCAATGAATCTATAACGAGCTCAATATATAGTAAAATATATATATAAATTAAATTATAAAAATTTATATTAGATTTGATCATAAAGAAAATTCAAGAAATTTTGAAAATTAATTATATTACAATGTTTTTAACATCAATATTAAATCCTTTTTTAGTCTATTAAAATTATTTTTTATGAGTTTATTTATATGCTTTAGTTTAAATTAATGCTAATTGAAGCAATAATTATATTATGATTACTTAGAAAAACTAAATTTTATATCACTAATTTATATATTGATCAAATGTGAATTACTAGTATTATATATATTATATACTAAATATTAGAGAAAATATCAATAAAAATTTAAATTCAGTGTTATAATTAAAGATGGTATTATAATCGATTTGAAAAATATGTAATCTAGTAGTTGCAAATCCATTTTTAATTATAATATTAGTAATTAAAACTGTATTTATATTGCTATGATAGAAGATATAACATTAAAATTGATTGGATTTTTTTACAGAATTTATTCTAAAATATCATACTGGCTTGAATTTAGAAGAAATTCATTCTATATTACTATTAAATATTAAAATTCAAAAGCCTTTCTCAGTTGAAATAACAAATGATTATAATACTTATGAAATATTAAATCTAAGCTAAAGAAATATTCTTCAAAACATTATAAGTTAATAGAAAAAAATGTTTAACATATGTTTTTGCTATTGTTTAAAAAAAAAAGGCATAATATTAGAGAATGCAAATAATAAAAAGCTGATTTAGTTGATAAAGAAAATGTTTAAGCAGGTTTATAGATTTTGTAGACAGGATAAATAAATAATTGATCAATTATTACATGCATTTTATTTTGCTTAACTAATTTTCTATTGGCTAATTATAGTCTCATGATACTGGTGATGATTAATATTATATAATATTATATAACAACTAACCTAATATCTTAATAAAAGTTATTCACTTGTTCAAATAAGATCCAGTAAGATCTAATGCTTTACCAAGTTTTATTAAAAGGAAATTGAAAATAATTCTTATATATTAAATTATATTAGTATATTAGTTTGTAATCCTTAAAGACTATAAATCTTAATAAAACTTTGACTTTTCATAGTAAAAGTTAAAGATTTAAACATCTTTTCCTTGAATTTTTTCGAGATGTAGTCAATTTATAGCCGACCAATGTCCTTTCTTTAAATCAAATTAATCGGTCATGTGATAATCGACAAAAATAATCGATCTAATCGAAAATTTGTTAAATGTTGTTTTGAAACGTCGGTAACGGGACAACCATAGCATAGAAGAACGATCGAAAGTTCAATGGAAACAAGTAAAGCTACGGAAGCAATACCAAGAATGTCAAATAATTTAGCATTAACAACTCACAATTTGACGAAGAGCCGAAAAAACAAGTACTACATGAGGTAAATTATAAATTATTATTTTAATAATTTTTTTTAAAGCCAATACATAGTATTAATTAAATTCCAGATATTAAGGCACGTTGGAATGGAATTCAAAATGAAAACATGTTTAGAGACTTGGCGAAGTTGAAACCTGATCACTCTTATTTAAAAATCTTAGCTTAGCTTAGTTAAAAACGAAAAACAAAACAAAACAAAACAAAAAAGGTTTAGAGATTTAATAGCAACGATGAATATTGAAAATTTTAACAGATATAAAATTCAAATTCTGGAAGCATTTTGAAGCATTTAATGAACATAGGTCGATAGATTTTTTAGGTCTAAACGCAGAAAGAAAGACAAATAGATAAATGGCGGGCTTTATAAATTTGGATATCATGCAAGCTTCTCAGAAGTAATTCGGAATTTCATTGACAATAATGATAATATCGCTCATGGAAGACATCATGAAAAACAATTAGGAGGAACGGCATTATTCAAACATAAATGAGGTTTATCGGTAGCCGGCCAACCAATTTCGATTTATGTAGTTAAAACTTTTTATTTTAAAATTGGCATTGTAAATACCTATTGAAATTTCATGGTTCACGATTCATTAGAAACAAATAATTTATCAGATAATGGCTTCATCAAAGCAAGGATATACCGTCAAGGCCGACAATTAATATCAAAGAAACCGCATGACGGTAGGAAAACCTCTTCCTTATATTTTAATCTATCTGGAGCCTTGGAACAATAAGAAAATAACTGATAAAAAGAGAGACTGAAAATGATTGAAAGATTTCTTAATATTATTAATAACATTGCTGACAGAACAAGAATATTTTTCTGTCCTTCTAGCAATCGGGAAATTTATTACGCGCTGGTATCGTTTATATTTTAGGTAAGCAATAATTATATCGGAGTTGAAAGTTATTCATATGGGCATGACGAAAAGGTTAAATGCTAGCCATAAATCATGCCAAGGTTTAATATGCATCACAATCGAAAATACTCTATATGGATTCTTACTATTTTACTTACTAGTGGTCAGGTTATTTCCCGCCAATGATGAGATCAGATAGCATTAACATAAATAAGATTAGTATTTTAGTCTTCACGAATCAATAAAAAAATGATTTTATTTATTTATGAAATTTGCGATCCATGTTTTAATTTAAGAATAAATTTCTTAATTTACCTTGATAGATCGCGCAAATGATTTATTCCCGCCAAAAATTTAAAGTATATATTACACGTGTCTACATATGAAAATACAATAAATATATCATTTGAATATTATTTATCCAAAATTGCCTTAAAAAATCATTCAAATTAATCGATAATCTTTTAAAAAAATGATACCTGGAAGTGAGGAATATGTTATAATAAAGAAATATTTCGGTAATATATTTTCGATAATAATCATCAAAGATATTGATTTTGCAAAATGATTCTTTTAAAAAAAAAAAGGACTGACTTTATTTAATTTAGACCGATAATAATAAACGATCAGAAATAGGTCGTAATCCATAATTCTAATTAAGCTGGAACTTTTACTAAAACAAGAACTACACCGCTTATTCTTGCCCATCATCGCAACTAATTTTCAATGCCAAGCCATTTTTTCCAATTTTCTAGGATAGGAGATTCCTTTCAAAGTATTTTCTAACAGAGTAAGTCAATAAAGAAATCATTTTGACAATGAAAAAAAGAACGAACTCTAAAGAGAATTCTTCTAGAAAGAACAAAATAAATCATCAACTAAATGGTCTTTCATCCGAAGTATTACATTATAATGATATACCTTGCATACCTGCATATAAACAATCAATCATTGTAATGATGCCAAAAGATACGCCCATTGCATAAATGTGGAGATCACGGCCCCTTTTTCATGATGCAAATCTCAACGAAAATTTATTCATTCAAGAATTTCCACATATTACAAAGTAGCTATATTCGACGGCACCTTTAACTAAAGCAAAAATGAAAATTATAAATAATAGTATTAGATTGTTATTTAAATTTCAAGATTCTACTTTTTTTTCAGATAAGCAATAAATCCCTCTACTATTATTCCCCCCCTTTTTTAAAAAAAAAGCGTATTGGCGCAGTCATTTCTGTCATCAATGAAAAAATTTTGTAACATGAAAATTATATGCAACGATCCTAATGATCCTGTAAGTTAAGAAAATTAAGAAAATTAATTCATAGGGATTAATTTTTTTCTTTAGTTGTCAAAATCCACTTAAGGATCCACGTCGTGACTCGCTTTTGTGTAAGTGTCGTAGATCCGGGAACGACCGGCATTAAAATGATCGACATGTGAATTTCAAAAATTACGTACTTGTATTTGTAAATATGATCGACAAATATATTAAATTATTTTGATCAGACTAATTTGACTAATTTGCTAATTTGCAAAAAAGAAAAAAAAAAAAGAAAAAAAATTTTTTTTTTTTTAAAAAAAAGTGTGCTTGAAGTGCATGGTTTTTAACAAATGAATTATTGTTATATTGTTCTTCATGACTGAGTCAGCCGCAGAATTTGGAGAAAGAAATTGATACATGTGATAATTTTTTCTAAATTATTTTAAGATATGTCATTATAAACATTGTTTTTTAAATCGAAATTAAAAATAATGTAAATAATGTACAATAGCTTAATTTAATGCACAAATGCACAATAGTATTTTACATTTGACATTGATAGCCTTACATATTTTTTTCCAAAATTTTAGTGTTAAAATACTTACTTATATTTGGAAATTGCGCCAAAAAAAAAATTTTTTTTTTTTTCTCTTCTTTTTTTTTTCTTCCCCTTCGTTTTTTTTTTTTCAGGTTTGGTGTACAGTTTCATTGTTTATGATCCTTGTATTGCACGTGTTCATTGTTGTGTTCCATTATAGATAATCGTCCTAAAGAAAAAAAAAGAGATGAAAGTCCATATCTGGTAACAAACATTCGCAATGCAAAAAAAAATAACAACAAAAAACGATTCGTCTATGCTAAATTAAATATAAAGGACCATTCGTTTCCTTTCAAAATTTACACCGTTTTTTTTTTCCTTCCCATTTTTTATAACAACAAAAGCGAAAAAATTTGCTCTTTATTACTTTGATTATTTGTGTCGTTACATAAAAAAAACTTTTTTTGATATATATATAATAAACCAAATGACGATATTCGATCCAAAAGTATGTTACATTAAAGTGTTTCCTCACGATAAAAATGAAAAAATAAAATAAAATTTTTTTTTTAACTTTGCGATTTTTTGATTTTTGCAGACTGATGCTGTCATTATACAATTTATGTTGGAAGAGGGTCGTAAGCATAAAAAACCGTTTTCGGAACTAAGTAAAAAGATTAAATTTTCAACCAAACAAATTTGTCATCGGTAATTACAATATCTTTTTATCTCGTGAAAATATTACCTAAATCATCATTCATAACTTCCTTTATCATAAATTTTTTAGATGGAATGAACAGGTGGACCCACGAAGTACGTAAAATTAATCTTTTTTATTCATCTATTTTATTTTATTTTTTTTTTTATTTTTAAATTAAAACTTTGTTTTCTTCTTGATTAGTTGAACGTGGACCTTTGTCCGATAAGGAAAAAGAGTTTATTAATCAATGGGTCAAGGAAAACAGAAAAAGTGATGGCAAGATTCGTTGGACTCGTTGTCAAAATGATTTGAAACTTATATTTAATAAGCTCCGTTCTACAAATAAGATCAAAAACGCCTGGTCTTCGGAGCAAAAACGGCTCGCACGTAAAGAATATATGTCTCCAATTACCACCTCTTTTAATAATGACGATAACCATAAAGTCGGAATCACTGAAATTACCCCTGTTTTTACCTCTATGGCCGTCTTTCCCCCAACACTTCAAACTAATTTTCATCCAGGATTTAAACAACCTGATAAGATGCGACCGGTCTTTTGATTCTATGATGATATTCTTTTTTTCTTTCTTATTTATTTCATTTATATATAGTTGTTTGCGTTTATCACTTTGCACTTTACATTTGTTTCCTTTATAGATTTCCATTTTTCAATTTACATTTTCATCTTTTCTCTTTGTAACATTTTTAATGCTTTGAAAAAAAAAAAAAATTTAACAATAACAATAAAAATAAAATTTTAAAAAGGTCAAAACTTTAACGCTAATGTGAATGTAAAAAATTTCGGCGAACTTCAAAGATGAATCATCTAGAAATACACAAACATTGACGCATTCCGACCAAAAAGGGCTTTCATCACGAGAAGTATTACAAGTTCTGGGAATTTCTACATTAGTACTAGCAAATATTGATACCACCATTTCTCAATACATTTTAGGTTATAAAACAACCCATTATTTGCCAAATGTAAATGATGGACTAATTATAATTACCTTTCCTTTCATAATGGAGCCGATCATAAGGAACCTTATTTATTTATTTATTTATTTTATGTTACGCCGTATAAAGATATGAAGCGTCATTCATCGATTATCTATCAAAATCTTGATTTCATTAATTAAAGTCTATTTTTGATAAAGTTTGAATGATTTGAGAATAATTAAAAAAAAAGAACCCAAATAAAGCAATTAAAAGAGGAGTCGGAAGATTATATATAATATGCACAAACTGATAAAATCTCAAAATTGTTTTTTTCTGCTAAAGTGAAATAAAACATGGACTTTCTCTATTCAATTATTGCTTTTCATCTGAACAGCAAGCTACAAAATATCAATGATAGCGAATGGACAAGGAAATTGTATAAATCCTAAATAATTCTAATAAAAAAAAAGCCACTCGTCGACATCTATCTCTAAAGTCAATTTTGGAGAAATTGGTTCGAAGGATAATTTTTGATATGGTAAATGCTGGTTTTTACGCTTATAATTGAGTATGAATTTCTTTTTGAATACGATTTCTTTTTTTTTGCTATTCCAATTCTATTAATTTTTTTTTATATATGTATTATCATTTTTTTTTTTTTTTTTACGGTTGAGAGCTTTTCTGTGTGACCTACTTTATTTTAGCTCCCCAATTTTTTTGTGGGGAGATGTGAAGGATAGACAAAAATCTAATTAAACTAATTGGTTGAGGCGATTAAACCTGAATATGTTTTCCTTTTTAGTTGAAATCCATCTATATGATGTTTTAATATAAATAAATAAATAATTTTTTTTTCTTTGATCATTCAAACAAATTAAAAAGTCTTGGAACATCTTACTTTGGCAAAAATGTCGCATGATTAAAAAAAAAAAAAAAAAATGTATTTTATTTTGAATGGATATTGATATTTCCCAATCGAATGAATCAAAGAGATCGAGTCATCGAGAAAAAAAAGAATTTAGAATTTGCGTCAACGTGCTCAACGTACAACACATCCTTAATTATGTCATTGTAAAATTTTCCTATTTCGGGTCACTATAGGAATTTTATTTGTTTATTTTTGAAGGTTCGATCGATGAATGAAAAGGGTGATATTGAATGATGTCCTATGAGAGGTGAAATACATTTCTTTCTTCTTTTTTTTTTTTTTTAAGAAACAAAAATTACAATCTGATAAATGTTTCAGAATTGTGACATTAGAAATTACCAAGAAAATGATGTTATGTCTTAGATTGTTTTATTACCATTTAGGAATATATAAATAGTGCTTGAAAAGAACCAAACAAATTTTTTTAACACATCGATTTCATAAATCATTTAATAAATATTCCCACTTCACTTTTTTTACATTTTCAAATCATTAATATTCGAATATACCCAACTTATTTTCTTCTTTTATTCATTTCGTTCTTTTCATTCCATTCATATATATCCCGTTAAAAACAAAACTTTTTTAGAGAGAAAAAATCATCATGAAATGTACCTATACCCAGGAAATCAATGAAATCATTATAGATCGTCGCAAAAACTCCAGAAAAACTTGGACAGAAATTGCTAATGAGTTAAACGAGCGTTTTCCTGGGAATCGTTTTGATTCGAAGAAAATCGCACTACATTATGATAATATTAATCCGGACTTGATTAAAGGTCCCTTAAGTGACGAAGAAAAACGATTCATTAATAATTGGAGTCAAACCCATACAATATTTTCTCCTAAAGTTGTAGCAACTCGTATGAATCGTCCCGCAAATGTTATCAAAAATTATTATTACCCCTTAAAACATAAACAAGCTCTATTAAATCAAGTTGCTGCCGAAAACTCTGGAAATTCGGGAATTACCATTACACCGGAAGATTCAGCTGTAGCCGTACCAGCCGTGCAAGCCAATCGCCCACCTGATGTGTTGCAACCTATGGATATCAATACACCGGAAGATTCAGCTGTAGCCGTACCAGCCGTGCAAGCCAATCGCCCACCTAATGTGTTGCAACCTAAGGTTTTACCAGAAATTATTTTTCCGCACATAACTTTATTTGAAGACGAAAAGTTACTTTAATGATATTTTCATTTTATTTAATTATTTTTTTTTCGCGATTTTTTTTTTTTTTTTTTATTTTCATTTATATATATAATCTGTTATCTTTTCCGGTAAAAGGTACAGTATTTTTTCTTTTTTAAATAATATATATAGTATATTTAATCTTAATTATAAAAACAAAAAGTATTTAAAAAAAAAAAAGTTAAAAAATATAAATTAAAAAAAAAAATCATATTTTATATTTATGTAATAATTTATTTTTTATTTCATTTTTATCATTATAGTTATTAATAAATTTTTTATAACAATTAATATTATATTAATTAATGCAAAAGTATTGTCCTTGTACGATTAAAATTGACTGAATCATAAATATACAAAGTAAATCGTTCTAATAGTCCATGTCTGAATAAATAAATTACTTTAGCCTACCATTTAACAGCTAAAGGATTCGTAAGACTCGTTTCAACAGCATGATATTGAGTGCGCAATAATGACTTGGATTTCTCACTATCAATCCCATCAAGCCACTCACTACAAAATACCAAAAAAAAGATCAGTTTTAACATTTACATCTCCACTTTCTAAAAAGGATTCCAAATAAAATTCAAAACCTTACTTGTAAAGGGTTAATACGACATCATTCTTTTCAGGTGAAACAGAATTAACTTTACGGTAAATATTATTAACATGTAATATCCAATCTTTTATGGGAATATTTTCATTTGGCTTTAATTGACCACCACCATTTATACAACCAGATGGACAAGCCATGACTTCAACATAATGATACGGTGAATTACTATTTTTAATCTTTCGAACAAGGTTTTGTATATTTCTAAATCCATATGCTGATGCAAACCTCAAAACAGGTTTTCCGTTAATCTAATGAATACGAATTATTTAGCGAATTTCAGCAATTAAACGTAAACTTCTTTTTCGAAAACAAATTTTTTTGTCGTAACTTTACCTCAAGAGTGACCTCTTTAAAATCTTTATTACGACCAGTTTTAACCATAACACCTCGTTCCCCATCAACATCAACATCAGTAACTTTAAATAATTCACGAGCGGCATATTCAAGAATAAATTCTAAATAACCTCCTGATGCACTTCCGGAAGATCTTAAAAGTTCCCCTTGTTGTGAAGTTTTCGTAAAAATATCTAATGAAGTTTCTTCACTCGTCATAATATCAAAATGACTCTCTTCAAACATTTTGACAACTTCACCAGATGTTATAACACAATCAACATCTCTTGTTTGATAATCTTGATTAAAGAAATCATTTCTTGATGCTTCTAATTTTTTATCATAACACATCATGACACCAACATGATATATTTTATCAGGTTTAATCCCCAATTTATTTCCCAAGTAATCCTTTACAACGGATCCCATAATTTGTTGTGGTGACTTAGTTTGACTAATGTAAGGTAAAATAGATCCATGAGTTTTTTCAGCATAACAAATCCAACCAGGACAAGCCGAAGCAAGCATTGGTAGCTTTGCATCATTCATCGCATGATCTCGTTCCCCCGATGTTACATTACGTTTTGCTTTTGTTGATTTGACATCGTTATCCACCGTGAATTGCTGTTGTTTTTCTTGATAAACTCGATATCTCTCTACAAATTCACGAGCACTTTCTAATAATGAAAAGTCTCGTGAAAACGAAGTATCAAATACATGATGAACGCCAAGCGTTTTAAAGAAATATGTTAACCTTTTAGCTACCTATTTTTATAAAAAAAAAGAGTTAACCTAAAAAAAAAAAGAAATATATATTTTTTAATGCTTTTGTTTGCTTTACCTGTAGTGGGGTTAAATTGTATTTGGCAGCAATCGAAACAACAGATTGAGGAGCTATTGAAACAACGACGGTCTTCACTTGATCAGCCTTATTCTGTTCTATTGCTTCCTTATTTGATTTTAATATATTATATAGTTCTTCTTGAGACTGCATTGTTATAAGGATACTTTCCGCCGAAGTAATACATCCACTTCAATGAAATTATAACAAAAGTTAAAGATCGAATATACCGGTCAAAATAAAATAAATGAAAGTCCAACATACCTGCATGCTAAACAATCGTCAAGAGTGATACTGGCCGTTTGTAGTTTAGTTTCAACGCCTTCCCGAGAAACCTCATAATAACCACCAGAATTATCAACTTTAATCACATTCTATTAATAAAGAAAGTTAATTGCAAAGTTGGAAAGTAGAAATCAAGAGTAACAATTTTATGGGTAATTAAACTTTACACTTTTGCTGTCAGTTGAAGTTTTATTTACTTCAACAGGCTTAATACAAGCTTGTGAGGGAGCAATATAATCGTTAAGATCTTTTAGTAAAACAGACATTTTTTAAAAAGGAAGAAGAGAGAAAACGCCAAATGAAAACTAAAAAAAAAATCTCTGATTATATATTAGTAATGTTGATTTATTGTCACACTCTTATTGGATAAAAGCTTGCATATTAATCCTAAAACAAAAGATAAGGCCATTTGATAAGAGTCAGTAATTACGTCATAACCATTCTTAGATAAGTGTAATTATGGAAAATATGATAATAGATTTAACCGAGTACATTTTCGTTATGTATTAAAGCAAATGCCAAATCATGGAAAAAATTATTTTCATAAATTGTAATTTTTTTTTCTTTATTTCAATGAAAGGTTGGAATGAGTCATGAGTTCTTCAAAATATATACGCAATCGGTAAATATTTCTTTAAACAAATAAATAAATTATCCAATTATTATATCTTAAAATTATCTTGATCATAAGAATTAATTTATTTATCTATTAAATAGCACTAAATGTTAACGATTCTCTAGATGAAAATTTCAAGTCATCTAAGACTGGTCCTATTCAATATATATACATATAAATACGATCTAAACAAATAATCCAAATACTGTATATAAAATAACAGATTTTCAGAGATTTGAAATTTCGTTTGTTCAATATAATTTCTGAACTTTAAAAAGTTTTTACACAGCTTTTGTTCCTATACTTAGTAACGATTAAAGAGTTTCTTTTCAATTTCATGACGTGAAATTACCATTGTATAATAAAATTTGCATTTGATGTCATTTGCATCACTTTTGATCGTCCGATGAATTATAATTACGATCGAGTTTGACTTTTATGCCAAACAAAAATATAAAATTGATATTGAAGAGAAAAGAGAAAAGAGAAAACGTACATGATTTATGTTAAGACATTACTTTGAACTTAGGAATCATATATAGAATTCGAAAATGTTTTACTTGTTAGTGCTCTAAGGAGTTAAAAAAATATTTTTTTTTTATTTAAAGGTTCACATCATATAAAGAACAACCGTTCGCTCTAAGCAAAGGTCGTACCAAAGTTTCACAGAATACGTATTAGAAATCACGGCACGTGCATAATTGTTGGAAATCTTTATTACATTATTAAATTTTACTAAAGAAATTTTCCGAAGGAAAATCCATACAATATAAATTTCTCTTGTATCATGCAATTTTATCCTCCTATAAATTTGTATAGATGGTGATACTATGCAGATAGAGGCATAAATATCAATCCTGTTCTTTCATTAATAATTAGTTGATTTATGAAATTTGTTTTACCTAAATTAATGTAATACACATACAAATAGATATTAAAAAAGAAGAAATACTCTATTCGTTGCTGCCTTAATGATAGACACAAAAAATTTTTTGAAAGTATGTCGTGTTTCTCAAATGAAATAGTTGCTTTGATGATTACCTTGTGAGGAAAGTTTTAAAATTAGAAAAAATCTTGACGTTAATATGCATGTACGATTATCCTAAAGGGGAATCAGCATAAATTGTATCATCTGACCACAGATACAGCCATAATTTTTTAGTGTTTTTTTTTGGAGTCAAAGATTAAAAAAATTATATATAAAAGCCATTGTTCCGTTATCCAAAAAAAATAAATAAATAAAATTAAATAAAAAATGGAAAGGTTCAGAGCTAATGATCAAGTATGTAAAACTTCTTTTTTATTTGTAAATTTAAAATAAATTCAAACTATTTCCTTTTTTTAGATTGATAGAATTATTAGACGGGGTATGAGTGAATATGGTCATCTTCCAAACCATTACGCAAATATTGCTAGGTTGATTCCTCAATATTCCTCCAATCAAATTCGCAATCGGTAAGAATTTCTCATTATTATAATAAAATCCCTATTTGTCACCTCTATATATCATGCAATCGGCAAGTTTAAAATATTATTATTTAAACCTATTTATTATATTTTTTTATTATAACGCAAAGATGGACCAATTATTTAGATCCCGAACGTAAGTAAAATTTTTATCTTTTTTAATTACCTTATTTAACATGAAATAATTCTTTCCTTCTCCCTATTAATTAGTGTGTTTGGATCCTCCTGATGAAAATGCAAAGCTCTTTATTAAAGATTGGGTTACGTCTAAGGCTGCGCCTATACATTGGAATCGTTTACGTCGAGAACTGCAAAACCATACAAATAAATTATGGTCGGAGAATTACCTAAAAAATTATTGTTATTCAAGAGAAGGACCTCTATCTCGGATTACTCGGATTAATCAAAGTCGATCTACCAAAATGGCCGTTTCCTTCCTTTTGAACAAGCCCGACTTCTTGAGTCATACTGCGTAGAATTATATAGTGCTTCGCTACGCTCTGGACTAATAATGCAATGCTGGTCATTACATGCTATTTATTGACATTGATAATAATAATAACAATAATAACAATAATAATAATAATACACTCAATATCTTCACGAACGGTTTTTTTTTTTGAAATAATACCGTTACATTTTTCCATGTCATTCATTCATAAATTTAGCAGCAAAATTATATTTCATACATTTTTTTTTTTTAATAGAATAGGTATGGTATGTAGATAAAATAGTTTACATTCGCTTCAATGTTGAGATCAAAGCAGTCTACACTATTCATTTTGAGTTCTCCTTATTAAGAAATAAATATATAATAGTTCAAAATTTTTTTCTTGCGACCTTATTTGTTAACCAACCATAATGGTAAATAATGAAAGGAATGTGTTATTTTGTGCAATCGATAAAAATTTTTCTGTGGCCAAGGGAAATTTGACGTTTCAAAATTGATAATCTAATCATCTTAATTTCTAAAGTTTAAGTCTGAATAAATCCTAATTTGGCATGTAAAATAATGGTAATAAAAATGAGGTGTTACTTTTTTTTATAGTTTCAAATTACAGCGAGTCAGTTTTGATTGTTTGTATGTGGTACTGATGCAGGTCATACTTGACTTGAAAGACCCTTCCTTAGCCAAGGCTATGCTTGTACACGAACACTTTTAAGGAAGTTTTTAAATTTAATGACTTAATTAATTGTTAAAATTTGATAAAAAAAACTCCCCCAATAAAATTTTGTATGCTTTGTAATAATTTTTGTCTGACGAAACTCGCAATTATCAACCTTCATGCTGCATGTTGAAGTTACTCGTATTTCTTTGAATTATTTGAAATATATTTGAATATTTTAGTAACTAAAAATAGTTCAATTGATTAAAGTATAAAAGGTTACTCAATAAAACCTTCTAATATGAGCATATTTTTATGAGTTTTAATGGTCAGTTTGTGATGTTGATTATCTATTCCCTGGTATAGGTTCTATTGAATTAATTTGAAAAAAACTATCACGAAGTATTGGACCCTTGTTGTGCATAATCAGGTGGCCGAAATTTCTTGGTTAGAACTTTGTTATCAATCATTGAGCTCTATATGATCAATTAATATGTTATTATTCCAAAAGTTCAGATTTGGTATTAATTTGCTTTTTTGTGGAATCTAACAAAATCGGTTTATCCAGTCTTACGCTATTATGCCAACTTGAGAAAATATTTCGTCATCTCTGTTATTACGGAATTTTATAAAAGTTATTTGCAAAAAAACACTTTAGCACCTGTAATAAAATCAGTTGTTATTTATTAAAAACAATTGTTTATTTGCAAAATTTGAATTATTTTATCCCATCGATATTATATACAGTATACTGTTGGAATTTCTTATCACTTCACTGTTTTATAACAAGTATTAATAATGGAATTATAAAGCAATTATAAAAATACATGTATATTTTTTCTTTGAGATATTTGCATTGAATTAGATATAAAGTTATAATTAAAATTTATATCATTATTTATAATATTTATAAGTGCATAATTTAAATTCTCAAAGTTGATGTATTTTTTTTATAATTCCTTATATACTTAGTCAAAACTTTCTTTTTGTGAGAATTAATTGCTTTTTCTACTAAACATATGAAAATTACTTTGATTTATTTGAAGGGAAAAGAAAAAATTCATGAAAGAGCTTGAGAGAAGAGAAAAAAGTATTAATAATCCACCAGTATATAAGATATAAATAAATTTATTAATAAAATAATATTTAAAAAAATATAAAATTACCAAAATTTTTTAAATCACATTATCATTAAAGGTTTATAAATTTTCATAAAAATATTCAAAATTCATTTACTTCAAATTCCTTTAAAGAAATTAGACTGATAGTATTCTAAAATTTTCTTGTTTACATTTAAACTTTTGTAAATTCTTATTCTTTCTTATGATTTTTAACCAATAAATTCTATAATTTCATCTTCTAAAATATCTTTAAGTATTAATATTGCAATTTTATAATAATTTTAATTAACAATTTTTTTCTATTAAAGTTATAATATTTTTCCTAAATTTTAATACACTCTTATGTTTATATCATATTAAAAAATCTAAATAAATAGAAATCAAATTGTTAATTACTTAATTGCCAAAATTAAAAAATATATTTATTTATATAAAAATATTAAAAAACGAATTTTTATAATAAAACTACTGTTTTTAAAAAAAAATTTAGTCAGGTATCAAAGTAAATGATTTGTATATAAAAATTAATTGAAAATGAAATTCATATTCAAATAGATAATTTGTCTTAAATACAAAATTTATTATTGATTAATGATTAAAAATAATTCTGCAATTGATTTAACAATCTATAACTAGTTATAATCTAACAGGTATTAATCTACCTTTATTAATAATATTTCATCTTTGAATATAAAATTTATCTTTTAATAAATAAATTTAAAAATAACAAATTTTATCATTAATTAATAATATTTTATTTTTAAAATAAATTTTACTTTTAAAATAATAGATATTATTTTTAAATGCTAAATTTATCTTTAAATAAATAAAAATATTTTTTATTTAAATATAAAATTATTTTCAAAAAAATATAATTCATTTTAAATAAATAAAATTTAAAGTTAGATGAGTTCTAAAAAGATCATTTAGTAGAACCTATCTTTATAATCTTTAGTATTTATTTTAAATATCAGTTTAGACTAGTTATATAATATAATATATTATTATATGTTTATATAAAGAATTATTTGATAATGAAGATTATAGCATTATTCTTAGTTTTAATAATTATCACAAAATCTATAAATTATTGAAATTATAATAAATTTTTAAAATTATTAAAGTTAAAATCACTAGATTCAACTTATATTATTTTAATTAGATCTTATGTTACATTATTAAATAAGTTTATCTTGTATAATAATTGTAATAAGATAGATAATTAGTTATTAAAATCTGATATAATTTACTATAATCCTGTAATATGATTATTCCTTAAATAGTAACAATTTTTATTTAAATTTAGTCATGATTTTAATCAATTATTATACAAAATTCAAAATTCTACATAGAAACTTACAATTATTTTAATTTGTTTTAATTTTTAGTTAAAATACATTATAAAATTTATTATAAATCTATTATTTTTAAATAAAATTTATTTTTAATAATTATATTTATTTAATCATTTCTAATTTTATAATTATCATTACTATTATGATTTATTTTAAGTATTCTCAAATATTATGACTTTTATTAGAATAATATTCACAAGTTTTTATGTGTTTAATTTGCTAGTGTAATTATTTTTATTCTTTTACTGATGATTTATATCATTTAGAGGTTAATCTTTTAATTTATGATATTTCAGGTTTAATATATTAGGAAAAATAATTAGAAGTTGTTATATATTTTACTTTGCTTCAATAACAATTGCAAATTTTGTGATATGATATCTATATTTTTGTTATTTCTATATTTAATTCTATATTCTAATGATATTTTATGATAAATTAGATTTCAACTGTAATATTTTTTATTATATATTTTGGTCACAGATATTATAATACTAAATTTAACCTTTTTGCTAACTTATTCTCTAATAATGATGTATATACATTATTATTTCTTATTTGATTGATATATGTCAATGATATATTTGTATTATTTCTTTCTTCTTTAATTATCATAATAAAATTTATTATATTAAATGAAATTGAATTAAACTAATAAGTATAAAAATGTGATATATAGAATATTATTTTGTTTAATTAAATAAATATCCTATATTAATATTAGTATTAATATAATAATCCTTAATTAATAATAGTCATAATGTTAAATCAGTAAGTATAACAATGTAATGAGATTTTAATTTTGTTGCAATATAAGACACTTTCCAAAACTCTTAAATATCATTATAAGAATTACTATTAAGCAGATTTTTTAATCTAATTTGCAGTAGATTATAATTTTATTCTATTATATCATCTATTCTGATATTATCTTCTTGAACCTTAAATCATAATTAATTATAATATAGTTATTAATATTAACTTAATATTATAAGACTAGAAAGAACAGTAAAATATTTTTGTTATCTGATTAGCTAAATTAGTTTTCCTTAATAAAGTAATAATTATTTCATTTGACCTCTTTAAAGTGATAATAGAATAGATGATAAAAAATCCTATAACATTGAATTTATTTTTTTAAAAATAGTATTAAATATTGATAAAAGACCAAATAATAGATTTTTTCTATAATAATATTTGATTCATATATATTAAGCTTCTTTATCTAGTTATTTTCATTAGCTTCAATTAAAGATGAGAGATAAAACTCAAAAAAGGCAATTAATAAACAGCTGAAATTATATTAAAATATAGTAAGGGATACAACGAAATCCTGTAATCTGAAATTAGCTGAAATTATATTAAAAATATAGTAAGGGATATGACAAAATTATTTTAAGGGAATTTCAGCTAGCATCTTTAACTTCAATCAATTTTTTTAGTAAGATATCTCAGTACACCATTTTTTAATAACTTTATTAATAGATTCAACTTACTAAGTGCTTTCTATTTCTACTGTAAACTCTTTTTTAATAGAATATTTTACCTAATATATTCTACTAAAATTTAAGCCTAAATATAAAAATTGATAAAAAAATCAGTTTGAAATTTAGAATATCAACAAAATTAAATTATCTAAAAATTCTAATTAAGTAATTAAAAATTTATTTTAAAAAGATAATACATATTATTCAATATAAAGATGAGGGACGAAACTCAAAAAAGGCAATTAATAAACAGCCGAAACTATATTAAAATATAGTGAGAGGTATGACAAAACCCCAAAATCTGAAATTAGCCGAAACTATATTAAAAACATAGTAAGGGATATGACGAAATTATTTTGAGGGAGTTTCAGCTGG